CCGTCGTCAATTTAATGTGCGGGTTGCACCCTCTCAGTCAACAATAAACCGTCTGGTTGCAAATTTTCGAGAACAAGGAGCAGTAAGGAACCTTCCTGGTTCCGGCAGACACCGAACTGTCCACACGGCTGACAATATTCAAGTGGTACAGGAGAGTATTCGGGAGGATCCAGAAACATCAACCAGGAGACGTTCGTCACAACTGGGCCTCTCAAGAACGTCGCTGCAGCGAATTTTGCACACCATAGGATTGTTTCCATACAAAATTCAACTTGTCCAAGAATTGAAACCAACAGATTACCAGCAACGACTTGACTATGCAATTTATTTCCAGCAAAAAGCACAAGAGAATCCAAATTTTATTCATAACTTAATAATGAGTGACGAAGCCCATTTTCAATTAAATGGGTTCGTTAACAAGCAAAACTGTAGGATATGGGCTACGGAAAACCCGAGAGTACTTCATCAACGACAATTGCACCCAGTTAAGTGTACCGTTTGGTGCGGTGTTTCTTCAGAAAGGATCATTGGCCCATTTTTTTTTTTGAAAATGAACAAGGTGTCGCCATTTCCGTCAATGGTGATCGATATCGGGCCATGTTGCAAAATTTTGTAAGGCCAGCCGTGGAAAACCATCCGCAAATATGGTTCCAACAGGATGGAGCCACAGCGCACACTGCGAGGGCCACAATGACTCTTTTACGCGACATCTTTGGTGAAAGAATAATTTCTCGTAACAGCAATTTTAATTGGCCTCCGCGGTCCCCGGATTTAACCGCTCCAGACTGTTTTCTTTGGGGCTATTTAAAAGGAAAAGTTTATGTTAATAAGCCTAGGACTATTGAGGAGTTAAAAACCAATATTCGAGAAGAAATTAACAACATACCACCGGAAGTTTTGCGAAAGGTTATGGAAAATGTGTTGGAAAGAGCACATTTGTGCGAAGCAGAATATGGCCACCACTTGCGGGATATCATTTTTAATAACTAATCCAAAAATATTCCCCATAAAATTAATGTATTTAAAAAAAAATTAAAAAATATCTCTTAAATAAAAAGTTATAAGCAATTCACACCACTTCGGTCTTTCTGGGCCACCCTGTATAAGAAGTATATCTATTTGTCTTCAATAAACTTATTGTCATATTATGATATATTTTTTTATAAATACTTTGGTTTTTGTTAAACCAAAAGTTAAGCATTTTTTTCATAGATAATTTCCAGTCTAGCTGGGTATTCTGCGTGAATGTTTATTTTCTTTGTTTGTAAATGATTTGACAATGTTAAAACTAAGATCCATTACTCAAACTACTGAGATGCAACAGATAACGAAATTCAAATTAGAGTCGTGCTTTATACATTATGTACAATTTTATTAATGGGAATTTGCACTTTTTAATAAATATAATAAAAATTGTTATTAATATTACCAGGATTCTTTACATTTGGGGACCCAGAAGATTGCAGGAGGAATATTTTGCAACCATCAGATAAAATAATGTTATTTTTAGGATGTCTTGAGGAGTATGGAGAATGGATCTATACTTAAGTTATACTTGGATAATTGCCTTAAATTTTTAATCGAGTACATCGCGGCAATGGTGTTATTGTATTAGGAGTCTTGGTAATATTGTTGGTCGTGAAAGTTTGTTGTTTACCTCAAAAAGAATAAGAAAAAATCAAATAAGAAAACACTCACTAGTACAAAAAATTTACTTGAATATTAACAACATAGGTGATTACCAACAAAACACTTTAAAGATATAAAATATAAATATATGTAGGAGGGCGTTATAAGAACAGGAGGGCCTTCATGGGAACTCATACTTTGAAAGGGATAAAGTACAGTCTATTCAATACGACACCAACTCAATCGAAACACTAGATATCACTATCACTTCGATACACAGCGATTCGTCACGAGCGCGGTGCGCGGGCGTCATCTCGCACGATACTCCATCCTAAAGATGGCCGCCCTCGCTACCATCACAATGACGCTTCACTAGGCTAACCTCAGACAGCTAAAAGTCAACCTGACGTATGATTTTTGACGGATGCGCCGTCATATACAACTATGAAATTACACATCTCAATTAAGTTGTTTGGAAACATTTTCCTCCAAAACAACAACTTGAAAAACATTCAATGAATGATTTAAGGAAAACAGGTGATTAACTTCATAAAAATCATTAATTACAAGGACATGAAATCTATGGGAAAATACATATTTACGATTTAAAATAACGATTCGTTCTTATTTTATTAGCTTTTTTTTCTTTCTTTCTCTCTGTGCCTCTTCATTTCTCTTTCTCTAAAATAAAAGTATTATTTACCCTAATAATCAAGATTATTTCTGCTGGCATTAAAATTAAAAAGGTTCGACTGGAAAATAATAATTTAAAGAAACAGAATTTAACTCAAAAAAAGTAACTCAATATACAATAACGACTTTGTGCAATTAATAACTTGAGATCGTTTTAAAAAAAAGCTATAGGTTGAAAATAATAGCTACAGACAGCTGAGATAACACCGCTTCTATGAAATTGGATCGTGATTTTATCTCCATCGAGACTCTTTAATATTACATATTACATCAATAGTTAAAATCACTACAAAGAATATTAAGTCAATTGTTTTCACTGACTCATATTAAACGACGATTTTTTATAATGTTTTCCTTTGTATGTAATTATTTTTATTAATTAATCAATAAGTATGTACTTTTAAACAGTTATAACGCATTCGATAATAGAATTAGGGCTGTTACTTTAAAATAATTACAACATACAAACAAGGTCTCACTATCTGTATTAATCGAGGCTTATATCAACTGACTTAAAAATATTATTTCAAAAGAACAACAGTGAAGAGATTTGTGATAATTTGGCAATAAAAATCTTTTCAATGTTTTTTTCTTTATTCAGAGTTCCGTGTCAAAACTGAAACACTTGAAAGCGAAAATTTCAAAAGAAGAAAAAAGATATAACATGATTCCCGGTTGAATGCTGGAGTGTATAAATAATGAAAAAGTGAGAGGAATACGTTTTTCATTCCTCGCATACGACACATGGTAATAAATAATAATTTAGACGGTTATTTATTTTATATAGACAGTCATCGACTGTACAGTTGATGGTTTTTATGTATAATATTTAAATATTATTTACAAATATTTGTTACCTGATAGCGTTAAGACATATGAAATTAAAGTTTAATTTAAGAGTTAAGAAGTGTGACAAAGTATTTGATTATTGATTGTTTATATTTATGAATAAAGCTACAAGCTTTTATACTATTTAAATCAACTCAGACGTGATATTTAACGAGCCTGACAAAATTAAGCTAACCAATTCTTTATTTAAAACTAGAATTATCACTGTGGGTTTAATTCTTTGTATTACAACATATTTTTACCTAAACCAAAAATTTAATAAGTTGCTTCAAAGTATTTTTTTAATATTTATAACTGCCATCAATTATAATATGACTACTTTTGATTAAATTATTTTATATGACCTAAAAACAATCAGTGTTAAAGTATATAATAATGTAGGCTTTATTTGTTCTTTATCATTCGTCCATAATCCAGAATCTTTAAATATAAGAGTATATTTGTTTTACTTCAATTACCCTATAGTCTTTGTACAATATCAAAGATGATAAACCGATGACAAAAGGAATACACTCATATTTCTTTTTTCATCCGTTGTTTGCTTTTTAACTAGCAATGCAAATGCTTCCGACTTATATCCTTATTTCAAATGTGAAACGTAGGTAGTTAGATAGTATATAAGAACTGCTGTGCGGAGCTTCTTTTTGTATTATGTACTTTTTTAACATTTTATGTGACATTATATGTAGTGTTGAAATTTCTGAAAGGAATTTGAGATATTTGTGAAGTTTTGCAATTAATTTCTACTTACATTCATAAGTAATAGGTTTATTTGTTAAGTAATTTTTTATATAATTAATTTAAAAATCGGATGAAACTAATTCAACACTTTGAATTCTTAATAAAAATATTCGTTATATTTGCTTAATACAACGATAATTCTTATGAATATATTTACTAACATTTTACTCAGTTTTATCTCTTAATCGGTTTTAGCTGAGCAATACAGAGCTATCAAGTCCAACCATCACATTCCGACAAAAACAAACGTAAAATGGGTTTTAAACAATACTCCAAATCCAATTCTAAAAGTTTTGATTGTACATCCAATACTGAAATTGTGTGGACCATCAAATCGATCTGCAATATCACAAAAAACGGAGGTGTTGAAATATTTATGTATCAACAATTATTATCAATATCTTTCTAAGCCCATTGGCGATTTCTTAAAGCCTCAAGTAAGATTATCGAATATATAATTAATTATTACCTAACAATTATAAGCAAAGTTATGCAAAAACCAGATAAACAGTTGTAAAATATGTTTTTTATATATTTCTTTAAAACAATTTTTAGCCATACAAACATTACTTTTTACTTGTTTAAATATTCAAAAATCTAAATAAATAAATTATAATTTTGATTTAAGAGAACAGAAACGAAATCGCCGTTACAAAATCTACCTTGTCACATTCATGATAAAATACTGCTATTTGTCTAATCCTTTCTCTCCTACTAAATAATATAGAGAACAAAATGACTATGTCTAAAGCTGTCAGGCATAAAAAGTACATATGGGAATTATAGCAAATACAATGACAGCGGGGCCTTTACCGAGTAGACTTTTTTTGCTGCTATTATTATAATGCTGGTACTTTTATAATACATAAGTACAAATAACTTTATAATAATCTAAAAAAAGAGTTTTAGATGTACATTTGCTTGGCTTTTCTTAGTCGTAGTATTGTGGTGAAAAAAATTTATGTTATTGGCAACTCATAAGTGGTAATTTAAATTATAATTTTGAGTCCAAAAAAAAATAAATCTCACTTTCAATTGGTTAAATTTTTCCGGTACTTTAAATTCAAATATCATATATATGTTGGGGCATGCCCCAAGTGATATTCAGTACGTCCCCGTCGTGTGCCCTGGACCCCTTCCTGACCACCGTAACTGAGTGGCAGGTTGGGTGACCGAATCTGAATATCGAGACTTGTGGCTTTTGGAGTGCTTTCGCTGCGTTTTGTGCTGTCGGAGTTTACAACTTTGTACTGCTCTCGCTGCTATTTGATCCTTTCCACTTGGTGCGCGGTAACGCAGTGGCCAGTGGGAGGTGACTACTTCGCTGCTCTCCAAATTATATTATTTTCTGTGTTCGATCCCTGACTGACTTGGCTTGCCTACTGGACTTTGCTTCTATAGTGGTGTGGATCTTTTGAATTTGTATATAATATATTATAGTATTAGTGTAAGTAGTGTAGTATATTATAGTATTTGTAGTTGTAGTTGTATATTATAGTATTAGTGTTTTATCTGTTTGATTTCTGTGTGGTGTAAGAGGTTGGGGGAAAAACATTCTTTCCCCAACAGAATCAGTCTTGGGCAGGGCCCTGGACTGGACTATGTCGGAAACCTCCGAGTTGTCGGAGAGGAGAGGAGAGGCTCCGCGAAGAGTCTCTTCAACCTATCGACATAACAGAGGCAAGGCAGTTGCTGGTTCCAGTGGATGAGATTCCGCGGTTAACCCGAGGAGAGGAAGGACTCGGACTCTGAGGCGGACTTGACGTCGGATTTCCCGAACACGGTCTCGCCGAAAGTCCTCAGAAGTATGACCGGCAGAGGGACCTACCATAATACTGCTTCGTCCAAAGCCAGACGTGAGAGGAAGGAAGCGGCGATATTGGACACCGACTCCGAAGCAACCGCTACCGAAATGGAGAAAGACCAGACGAGTTCCCCCAAAAGGGTGCAGGGTAGGAGGTCACCAGACACCTCAATGGCGGACCTAGTTAGTAAAACGAAGATGAGTTCCGATAAGATTTGGATGCTGGTGTCTAGTTCCAAAAATCTAAAAGGAACCATCAAGAAGGAAATCAAGGAAGAATCAATGGCAATATACTAGCTAGTTAAATCCATTACTGAAAGGTCCACGAGCGAGGAACTCAAGAGGGTGCAAGCAGACAATAAGCGGCTAAAGGGCCAGCTGTCCGCATTAGAGAGCGAGGTGGTCGCGCTTAGGCAAGCATTTGCCGAGCGCGGCAACCAAAGGGAGAACCCTTCGAGTGAGGTGGAAGGCACAGTAGAGGAGACGCAGGCCAGCAGCCCTGGTAAAGGCGTCACTAGGACGGAGCTGGCAATAATTATGGAGCGTTTTCAGCGAGAGCTGAGGGAGCAGTTCGAACGCATCCTGGGTGCCCGCTTGGAAGGGCTCGATGTAGATGGTCGACTCCTTCCAGGCGTCTCGTATTAAAGCGAATTTATTGATTTCAAACTTCTAATTCGAAATTATAAGTCCAAGTTTCCTTCACCATCAGTCAGTCAGTAAGTCAGTGGTGTCTCTTAAGAAGTACATACAATTCGGAAATATCACATTGGTACGTGCCTGGTTTCGAATCAGCGGCCTCGTGCACGCGAGGCCTTTAACCTCCAGGCCACGACCACATAAAAATACGGGAAATAAATATACTGTTCTTTATGTTGTAATAATTTTTATAAGTGTCACTATCACACATAGTTACACTGTATAAATACTGATTTGTATTGTACTGCAGTTTGTTGTTATATGCTGTTCTTTTGTACTTGTGTCTATATTTATATATGCTTTAAATTAATATAATTTTTTGACATTTGAATTTCGTTGGTTAAATATGATTAGATTATTATTATGTTAGTTGAACATTCTTTATATATCTGACGTGGAGAACGGGTAAATATAAAACATTGTTAATATTGCAAAAGTTAGAGCTATCGGTCGTAAAACTTGTATCTGTTATTTGTTTGCAAATAGAGATTTTATCTAAATTCCAAATTTAATATAACAACGAACTAACTGGATTAAGAGATGTTGAGAATGTTTCAATTCTTTAAGTTCCTATATAATTTATTTGTTTGTGTTTCCTTATATAACATACTAGCATATTAAAAACATTATGTCGAATGAGTTAAATACAATAACGACCTTTGTTTATTTATCTGATAATATACATAGTCCACTTTTAATGAATAATATATTAAAAGAGAAAAAACTTTCCATTCAACAATTTAACAATGCACGAGAACATCTCATTAATGCGTATTATTATTTGAGCGTGTTACGCTGACGTTGAGGGCATGTTAATTATATTGACACATGAAATGTTTCCAGCCAGGCCTTCATTACGACGCATTTTATGTAATATATTTTAAGGATGTAATGTGTTAACATTACGTATTTTAATTCTTGATTCTTAAATAAAACTCATGAGCTGTTTAAAATTAATGAGATTTATGAAACGATTACGATGAACTGTTTTCTCCTATTCTATTCATCAGTTATTTATACAAACCAATCACATATTTAAAAAATGAAGTATTTTTTTTTGCTATGAACTCTGATTCAATGTTCGTTAAATATAATAAAAATCAAGTGATTCTCAACAAACCTATATTAGTTTCTCAATACGGAATAAATTTGTTGTTAATATACTCGCATCATCAAAAGTGTTTAATAGGTAATAATAAAATAACAAAATGAATTTCATTTTGATGTCAGCTGATATTGTGCTTTTTTTATAATTTAAGAATGAATCTGTGATTTATTTGAAATATAAATTATTTTTGACCCTTTTAAAGAACATAAAAGCAATGATGCAATAGGTTGTTTCAACAAAGTCTATATATAATTTTAGATGACTGGCGTTTTAACATTATGTATAAGGCATAAATACGGCTAAATATACATAGAAGGTAAATATTGGAAGCGTGTGATATTATATGTTATTTATTTAAATGAGACTTCAAATGACGTGCTTTACAAATTTAGAAACTTCAACATAAATACAAAATACACAACTAAGAAGTACTAGAAACTTAAACTGTCTTCTTTCTTCTTGTACATTAAGTACTCATTATGCGAATGCAATAATTCGTCTCTTATTGAATTGTATTGATAATAAACAATCACATACTCACGTAATAAATAAAGTTGAATAGAATATTTTGTTGATAATTCATGACACAATATTCTTTATTCCCTTGCACAAAGTAGAATAAAAACCAGGTTACGTTGCGATTATTATATCTACATTTATGAATATACGTTAAGTAAAATATTGCTTATTTGAAAATAAACCGACGCGATGTCCAAAATAGCGTTCAAATATTAGCATTTCTGTATTTCCAGTAAACAAGGATCCTAGTGATTCACCTCAATATATGTTCAAGTGAAGCGATGTAAAAGGAACTTTCTAGGTTTACCTCAGAGACCATCCAACTTCTGTAGAAATAAATAACTCTTTGGTGACAAATTATTTACTTTAAAAATATATTACCCGTTTGAAGTCATTTAACTATTTCTAAAAAAATATATTTTTAGGAAATTGAAACCGATATGGATTGATTCAGAGTAGTTTTGATTAAAAAGCATTTTGTTACATATTATATTACATAATTATTATGTGTAACTTCCCAATTTTCAATATTTCAAACGTAAAGATCTTTCTTTTAATCATTCAACTTGTGGTCTAGTTTTTAGATTAGTTTTTAAAATACATCATTAAAATAATCCACAATGTTTAATAACATTACTTTTTGAATGTCACTTGTGTATTTTAGTAAGAAAGAGTTTACACTCGTACATTATCTTTTTTTATATATTTAAAATCCATTCATTTATACAAATCTCGTATCATCATTTATGAAGCTAATACTATAAGAACTACCTAACGTATTAAATGTAGAAATTAAAGTAGATAACTATGCCCATATCTTTAATAGATATATAATAAAAATTAAAATTGCATAAAAAGAGCATTAACAAATTAAGTAGATTGGTCCAAATTAAAATAATATTTTTAAAGAGTTTGTTAACTTTCTTTTGGTATATTCATACATATAACTTAAAACTTAGTGCCCATTATTTAATATTAATTTTTATGTTTTAATGTATTTTATAAAAGTAATATCTGTTACTGGCAATGTCTTAGCGATATATTCTAAAATGCAACATTCTTTGTACCAACGTTTTTATACAAAAAAAAATCTTTTTACGAGTATTTTAAGATAAATAAAAAAAATATGAACAATTTATAGTGTATAGGATAGGTCGGATGAAATTTATTATGAGTTCCCCTAGAGAAACTAAACTTACTTCAAGTAATTTGCTGGGTAAAATGATTTAGGCTTCACATTGATTGGCTACATTTAGAATTCAATGTAGTCTGGAGCTTACTCCATAGCTTACTATAAGGTATAAAATGTACTGTTTAATCTTAAAACGTATGTACTTATTCCAAATATTATGATTTAGTTAAACATCGTTATGTAAAATATCACTTTGTTTTAGTTGAAATATTTTGTAGTCTATAAAAGTTACAATTAACTCAGAATATTAATTATTTAGTGACATTATTAATAATGGCCTATAATAATTACAGCATAAATATGTCTTATTTTACAAGAAATATATGAGTTTTACTGAAACTTTCTTATTAAACGAATAGTTTAGTTTTTCTTTTAAGTGACTTTCGTATTCTTTCTCCATCAAGATAAATTTTTCCCTAGGGTTTATTTCATCTTTTTGTTTCTTGAAAATTGCAACAAATCTTATTTAAAACGTGCTAGCCAGCCACCATTATTTTTAGTAAATAATATTTAAAAAGTTAGGAATATAATAACTTTAAATTTATTAATAACACCTTTGCCACTTCACTCTACAAACTTGTCAACGGCTTACAAAATTTTTAACTCAGGATTTTCAAGGATTATAGAGAAAAATCTTTTAAAAATAATTCAAACTTTTTCACAGTCTTGTGTTTTACGCAAGATTCTGGCATGTCGACAATTGCAAACAAAAACAATTTGAGAATATAGGAGGCTCAATAAAAAAAAAACATTTTCCTTGCGACCTTCCTTAAGCCAGAATGAAGGAGGTGGGCTGAAGACCAACAAAGGTAAAGAGCAGTGCATATTAAAAAGTTAAGTTAAGTTAAGTTGTTTATTTTAGTTAATATTCAATCATATCTGTGAACATTAGTTGTAAAATACATGTTTTAGTAAAATTTACATACAAATTAGATGTTTGTCAAGATTAATATAATAAAATACATACAAACAGTACATATGCATATTGTTAAATTTATATGTAGATGTATTATGAGATGTGGATAAGCTAAAATATAATCATCATCGCCATCGTAGTTACTTTTTTTTATGACGAAAGTTTGAATAAAGCTGTTTAAATGTAAGTAGTTACTTATGTTATTATAGAATTCCGTTTTCAATCATGAAAGTGCTATCTTTTCAGTCGTCCGTTTTTTTTTATACAGCCGTATTTATAAGGAGTATTTATTTTCAACTTTTCAAGAATAAGGTGATATAATTATATTAGTTAACACATTGAAACATAATAAGGCATAAAGAGCACGTAGTATTCAATATTTAAAGATTCCCTCATTTCCCGTCGGATTATTTTAATGAGCTTCCGCTGCCAACTGCGCTATTGACTCTACAGAGCAATATAAGGAGCACAACTTATTATTGATTCTAGTATACGATGATCAGAGCACAAAACTTTTAAAAATCAAATTAGCATGTGATAAAACTTCTTTTCAAACACCTTTGAGACAATTTTAAAACCATGAGCATGATGCACTTTATTTCTATTATACATATAATAACCAACGGCAATGATTAATAGATTTTTTTATTACAAAGTGTTTTTTTTTTTCATTACTATTCCCTACGTATTATTATTTATCACTTTATTATTCGTTCAATTTTGTATTACAATTATATTGTAACTTGTACATTTTTTTTAAATTTCTTATCAGATATTGAACAGTCGAAGTCATTCATGTTATGAGACGTTATCTTGCCTGCTGTTATATAGAAAGTATAGAACAGGAATATTGAAATTTTATTTTTAATAAAAAGTTTACACCATTTTATTAAAGTAGAAACTTTATGTATTCTTTTTGAAAGTGTTTATTAATACGCTACTTTACATTATTAGAAGTTAAATATCACGGCAAATAACTATTTACGCTACCATCATACAAACTACCCGAGAAATCATGGAACTATCTTAGCCAGTTGCCTTCAGAGGTGGAGTGTACAGGTTGTTGTTAAAGGTTCATGCTCGGAACCCATGCCATTTAACTCTTGCGTGACCCAATGCTCAGTGCTGAGTGCTGCGAACCAGCAACATTCGGTGCTATGCATATGAAAGTACCGATGGAATTAATGTATGGTTTAAGTAAATATTCCTCGTGA